TCAGACCAGTGAGGGTCCATCTAGTCCAGCCTCTCGTCTCACACAGTGGCCAACCAGTTCCTCTGGAGGGCCAGCAACAGGGCACAGAGGCCGAGGCGTTCTCTTGAAAAGAACATAAGAGCCCTGCTGGATCAGACCAGTGAGGGTCCATCTAGTCCAGCCTCCAGTCTCACACAGTGGCCAACCAGTTCCTCTGGAGGGCCAGCAACAGGGCAGAGAGGCCGAGGCCTTCCCCTGATAAGAACATCAGAACAGCCCTGCTGGATCAGACCAGTGAGGGTCCATCTAGTCTAGCATCCGGTCATACACAGTGGCCAACCAGTTCCTCTGGAGGGCCAACAACAGGGCAGAGAGGCCGAGGCCTTCCCCTGATAAGAACATCAGAACAGCCCTGCTGGATTAGACCATTGAGGGTCCATCTAGTCCAGTATCTCGTCTCACACAGTGGCCAGTCAGTTCCTCTGGAGGGCCAGTAACAGGGCAGAGAGGCCGAGGCCTTCCCCTCATGTTGCCTCCTGGCTCCTCTAAATGTGAAGGTTCCTCTCAGTCACCATGATTGGTAGCCACTGATAGACCTCTCCCCCATGAATCTGTCTAATCCCCTTTGAAAGCTATTTATTCCTGTGGCCATCACTGCATCCTCTGGCAGCGAATCCCACCTTTTAACCACCCTCTGTGTCAAGTAGTATTCCCTTTTGTCCGTCCTGAACCAACTGCCCATCAGCTTTATTGGATGCCTTTGAGTTCTTGTCTTTTGGGAGAGGGCACGGTCTAGTCTGACTTCGCTCAAGTCAAGGCCTTTCCCCACCCTACCACCCAGGATCCTTTTGGCCCAAGGTGCCAGAGACCATAAGTAGGGTTACCAGGCTCCAATTGGATGCCTTTGAGTTCTTGTCTTTTGGGAGAGGGCACGGTCTAGTCTGACTTCGCTCAAGTCAAGGCCTTTCCCCACCCTACCACCCAGGATCCTTTTGGCCCAAGGTGCCAGAGACCATAAGTAGGGTTACCAGGCTCCAGGTGGGGCCTGGAGTTCTCCTGGAATGACGAATGGTCTCCAGACTTATAGCGATCAGTCCCCCTGGAGAAAATGGCTGCTCTGGGGGGAGGACTCTATGGGATGATTTCCCAGTGAGGTCCTTCACTTCTTCAAGCTCAGTCCTCCCCAGGGTCCACCTCCAAGATTTCCCAAACCAGAGCTGGAAACCCCGGGGGCCTAGTGTGAGGCTTAGAAGGGATTAATATTCTTGGTCCTGCCAGCTGCTGTGGAAAGAGACCTGGGGAGCCCCTGGCCTCACTCCCCGGTGCTGTGGCTGGGAACAGACCTACTGGGACACGGCCATCTTTGCTTGACTGTCTCCCACTTCGTTGCGGCCCATGCTACCGATTTCAGGGCCTTTTATTGTAGAAAAAGCCCAGCAGGAACTCATTAGCATAATAGACCACACCCAACCGCAGAAATCCATTTGCATATCAGGCCACACCCCTGACAACACAGCTCATTAGCATACTAGGCCACACCCCCATGTTCCCAGAAGTGTGGTCATCCAGCCACACCCACCTTTTGCTTCTTATTCTGTTTACCGTGTTTGTTGTCAAAACCCAGGGCCTTTTTTTGTAGCAGGAACTCCTTTGCATGTTAGGCCACCTCCCCCAGGTAGCCAATCCTAATGAGTTTCTGCTTTTGGGCATGGCCTATTATGCTAATGAGTTCCTGCTGGGCATGGCCAGCCAGAACTCCGTTCCTGTGCGTTCCTGCCCAAAAATAGCCCTGCTTGATTTCCATCCCTCCCGTAGCTACCAAGGTTGTGGTCAACCCATCTCCCGAAGTCCACGAAGGGGATCCCGTCTCTCTCACCTGCGAAGACATCAGCTCCACGTCCGGCGTTCTTTACACCTGGTACAAGAACACCCAATGGCTGGCCGAGGGTGCCACCAACTCCCTCATCTTCCAGGCGGTAACCCCAGGAGACGCAGGGGCCTACTCCTGCCAAGTGCGCAGCACAAAAGGAATCCGGACCTCTCCGCCTGCCCCCATGCGCGTCCTCTGCAAGTACCTCTTTGTTTACTCAATTTCCTCTTAGGCCATGGTCCTCAAAATTCTTTGAGCCCGTGAGCACCTCTGGGATTCTGACAGAAGGTGGTGGGCCCAGCCACAAAATGACTGCTGAAGGAGGCGGAGCCTACCACAAAATGGCTGCTGAAGGAGGCGGAGCCCCACATGGACCCAGAGGAAGTCCAAGGGCAGGGGGAAAGAGGGGTGGTTCAAAAATACAGTGCAAAAGAGGAGTGAGAGAGAGCATAAAGCCAGCACTGCAGTGTCTATTGCTACCAGATCATCATAATTTTAATCTGCTCAGCCAATCAGCTCTCCAATGGCCAATCAGAAGTCATGCTTGTTGGGAAATCGGTAAAAATAGCTAAATACTCAGAGATTGCAATGGATCTTTCCTTCACTGGAGAGGAGGCATTTTCTTTCTATGTAAAAATCTGTATTTCTAAAGGGAAGGGTACACAGGGAAATCTACAAAACAAACACTTAAGACTACATGCTTTCAACAACAGACACGTAGATAGTAATGGAGATTCTTCCTTTCTTCTTGACCCCTAGAAGGAAAGCACCTGAATGCAGTAACCAATGATTGTTAGTAAACAGGCTTCGGTTTCCTGGGCTTTCTTTCCATGGGCTTTCTGCCAGGTTCCCTTCCAGGTCAGTCTAAGCAATAGCACGCAAGATAAGCAGATTAGCCCTATAATGACTGACTTTAGACCTTGCAACACACATATTTTCAACAGTGCTAGGCGAGCACCCCACCTGTAAACATTTGATGGGCACTGCGTAAGGTGTTGGCAGGTGTCATGGGTCGTGGTGCCCACGGGCACCTTGTTGGAGACCCCTGTCTTAGACTGATGGCATGCACCAACAGAAGACTGCTGTGGGGATGCTGCTCTGGAAGTGCATTCTGCTGCATGCACTGGTTTTCCAGAGCTTAGTTCAAGAAGATTGGTGTGTGATATTTACAACCTAAGCTTGTTGTGTGCCGAACTGATTAGCTAATAGCTGTGACATCATGAATCAACTTACTCCTGCATCCTAGAGCATTATTTCGGGATTTTTTAAAAATAGTGTTGAGACAAAGGGAAAAAAGAATGAATTTAAAATGGTAAAAGGGTGCAAGAAGTACACTAGAAACAAGGCAGAGAGCTCACCTGAAAAGTTAGGTAGGGGCTACAATGGCGATTCGATCCAAATTGCCATTTGTTTATTGCATTGCAAAGGTGAGGGGAAAGATAGGTTCATGCGGTGGAAGAAGAAAATCACATGACAACACCTGATTTTTTTTTTTTTTAGGTATAATTTTATACAGGGCTTTTTTTGTAGAAAAAGTCCAGCAGGAACTCATTAGCGTAATAGACCACACCCAGCAGCAGAAATTCATGAGCATAATAGGCCACACCTTGCAGCAGAAACTCATTAGCATATTAGGCCACACCCCTGACTGCACTGCTAATTAGCATATTAAGGCACGTTCCCATGTTACCAGAAGTGTGGTCATCCAGCCACACCCACCTTTTGCTTCTTATTCTGTTTACCTTGTTTGTTGTCAAGACCCAGGGCCTTTTTTTTTGGAGCAGGAACTCCTTTGCATGTTAGGCCACACACCCCTAACGTAGCCAATCCTAATGTGTTCCTGCTGTTGGGTGTGGCTTATTATACTAATGAGTTCCTGCTGGGCGTGGCCAATTTGGGAGCCAGCCGGAACTCCGTTCCTGTGCGTTCCTGCCCAAAAATAGCCCTGATTTTATACTGTCTGATACAAAGATGACTAGAAGTTCGATCTGTTCCATAAAGTAATCTAAGGTTTGCCGTGCGCGCTGGACGCCACCTTCCGTGCCTGGGAAGCCCCCAGCCCAGTTTACATCCTCCACGCCCCGTCCTTCCACCACCTCCCCTTCCGAACAGTCTCATCCTATTTTGGGCTGAAGTGTGGCGTCGTCTCTCTCCTGCAGACGCTCCCAAGGAGGTCTCGCTGGTCTCCTTCCTGGAGACGCAATCCGGGCACCAAGCCATCATCCAGTGCGCCGTTGAGAGCCATCCGTTGTCCGACATCGCCCTGCACAAAGGACAGGAGATGGTGGCTTCCAGCTGGAGTTCAGGGGAACTGCCTGCCCCACGGCTCAACGTCCACCGGGCCCACAACTTCCTGAAGGTGGAAATCAAGGGGGTCGGCCTGGAAGACGAAGGGCAGTACCGCTGCTTGGCTAACAACACCTATGGAGCCGCCACGGCCTCTGTCTACTTCAGCGTGGAGAGTGAGTCATTCCTTCTCCCCCCCCCCCATGCCACATGCACATGGTGGTATCCTGGTGTTGTCAAGACAATGAAGTACACTCTTCTAGGAAGGTTTTACTTTTATTGAAAAGCCATAGATGCAGTAACAGGAACACTGTTAGGAATGGCGGGTTACCTATGCGCATAATAGGATATAGGGCATTTGTATGCACCCCCCCCCAACTACTACCCAATTAGATGGGCTCCCGCGTGCGGGCATTAGGCAGATTCTCTAATGGCTGCCAAGCTGGGAAAGTAAAAAGCTTCCCACGAAACCTAGACACACCAACTCCTTCTGCGACCTTGAGAGATACCCGTTACAGCACTGATGCAATTGAGCGCAGGGAAAAGAATGCAAAGCAATTAGAAACATACACCACACTTATGGCAGCTATAGCTGACAGGTGTCCACATGCACACAAGCTGCAGGTTCAGTTCAGGTAGGGTTGCCAAGTCCTTACCGTAGGTATAGCGGAGGAATCCAGCGCTGCTCTGGGAGTTCATGCGCACGCGCGCCACAATTACGTCACCCGGAAGTGACGCAACCACGTCGGGCATGCCGGGGCGGGGCCACAATCATCTGAGGGAAAACCATAGAGTTTTCCCTCAGACGACCGCGGCCCCACCCCCAACGCGCCCGACGCTACTGCGTTACTTCCGGGTGACATGCTGATGCCGGGAACATTGCGTGCTTTGGGGGTGGGGTTCCCCCCGGGGCCCGATCCACCGGCAGTGGGTAACGTGCCTCTGGGGCGGGGGTTTCCCCGCCCCCGAGGGGACTTGGCAAGCCTACGTACAGGTAATTCCCCATCCGTCCACCTTGGCATGGTGAGGTTTCCTTCTGAATGCCACTCCTGTCCCCATTCACCACCTTAAGCTCAGTAGTAGAACCACCGCCTTGAAGAGGGGCTGTGGCTCAGTGGTAGAGTGGCTGTTTGGCATGCAGAAGGTCCCAGGGTTTTTTTTTTTAATAATAGTTTTTTAGGTAAAGGTAAAGGTCCCCTTGCTCGAAAGCCAGTCGAATCCGACTCTAGGGTTGCGGTGCTCATCTCCGTTTCAAAGCCGAAGAGCCAGCGCTGTCCGAAGACATTTCCGTGGTCACGTGGCCGGCATGACTAAACACCAAGGCGCACAGAACGCTTGCGGGGTAGGGCGGGATAAAAATATTTAAATAAAACGTTAAAAATAAACCTTCCCCCCTAAGTGGGACCTATTGATCCACGTGCAATTTCTTGCTTTCGAACTGCTAGGTTGGCAGGAGCTGGAACTAGAGACGGGAGCTCACGCCATCATGCGGCACCCGGGTCTCGAACTGCTGAACTACTGACCTTCCACAGCCTGCAGTTCAGCGTCTTAACCCCTTGAGCCACCGCAGCTCCTCAATCGTTTTTTATTTTATCACAAATCAACATACAAAACAAAGACACACAAACATATTACATACAAATTGGAGGGTCTATGTAATCTATGTAATAATAATCTGTTCGATTACTTCTCACAGTATCCAGTTCTTTCATTAAAATATATACCATAAAGCAAAAAATCTTTTATCCTTAAAGTCTGCGTATATTTGTAGATAATATCTATAATATCTATAATATATGTTGTGGACTTGTGGAGTTCTTTTTTTTTTTTTTGCAGTCTTCCAACCAAGTATAAAATCTCAACCATGTATTGTGAAATTTTTCTTCTTCTCCTCTCAAAAAAAAGGTTAATTTGTCCATCTCTGCTGTTTCCAAAATTTTACTTATAGTTTCTTCTTTTGACAGTATTTCATCTTTTCCCCAATATTTGGCAAATAATAGTCTCGCAGTGGTTAATACATGTATACAGAGATAAAAACCATCCTTTTTACAACTTTCTGGCCTTACATTCAATAGAAATAATTTAGGAATAAAAGGTATAATACAATTCAGCATTTTTTTGTAATATTCCGTGGATCCAGGCCAGAAGGTCCCAGGTTCGATCTGCGGCATCTCCAGTCGAAAGGATCAGGTAGTAGTGCATGTGTAAGACCTTTCTCCACCTGAGACCCTGCAGAGCGGCTGCCAGTCTGAGTAGACAATACTGACCTTGGTGGACCAAGAGTCTGATTCAGTATAAGGCCGTTTCCCATATTAGGGAAAGGGTCTGTAGCTCAGTGGCTAGAGCCTCTGCTTGGCATGCAGAAGGTCCCAGGTTCAGTCCCCAGCATCTCCAGTTCAAACGACCAGCTAGTAGGTGATGTGAAAGACCTCTGCCTGGGACCCTGGAGAGCCGCTGCCCGTCTGAGTAGGCAATACTGACTTTGATGGACCGAAGCTCTGATTCAGTTTCGTGTGTGTTCATGTATGCAGAAGGTCCTTTCCCTAACCCTAACCCCATTCTTAAGAGACTGCAACAGAAAGGCCAATCGATGGACACCCACCACCTCAACCGAAGGCCTGGCGGAACAGCTCCGTTTTGCAGGCCCTGCGAAAGTGTAATAAGTCCGGCAGGGCCCTGATCTCAATCGGGAGCATGTTCCACCAGGCCAAGGCCACGGCAGAGAAAGCCCTGGCCCTGGTTGAGGCTAACTGGACATACCTCAGGCAACACCCAACGCTCAGGATCCACTGGACTGTTTTGGATTCCTAGCTATTGGGGGGGAATCCGCAGATCTGCCCTCAGAGAGGAGGGAGAGCTTGTACCTGAATAAACCTTGTCCTTAAAGGTGCCTCTGGACTGTTTTGGACCGGGGGGGGGGGGGCCCTGAGTTTTGCCTGCGTGCACTTGCTGTGACTGAGAGCAGGGGCTGGGGCTTGTTGCATGTGCCCGCACCCTGGGCTCTTTACTGCCGGAGCTATGCTCCTGTGCACTCCTGCAGGAAATGACCCCTGCTGCTACCTGAGGCCCTTAAACTGGAGATGCTGGGAATTAGGCCCGTAGCTATGGAGGTTCCACCCCTTTCTTAAAAGCACAGCCTTACAAGAATTTCTTTTGTAAATGCTTTTTTCCAATCATTTAAAACCATTTTTTTAAAAGGCACACACTCCTTTAAGCAGAGTGTCGTGCTGTAGTTGACTAATTCCCACACCGAGCTAGGGGGTTGGAGTAGGTGACCTCTAGGATCCCTTCTAACTCTGCGTCAAGAAACTGGTCTTCTTTAAGAGAGTTTTCCTGCCTACGTGACAGTTTGGTGTAGTGGTTAAGTGTGCAGACTCTAATCTGGGAGAACCGGGTTTGATTCCCCACTCCTCCACTTGCAGCTGATGGATGACTTTGGGCAAGCCGTAGTTCTGACCAGAGCTGTCCTTGAAAGGGCAGTTCTCTCAGAGCTCTCTCAGCCCCACCTACCTCAGAGTGTCTGTTGTGGAGAGGGAAGGGAACAGTGTTTGTAAGCTGCTCTGAGACTCCGAGTGAAGGGCGGGATATAAATCCAATCTCCTCCTCCTCCTCCTCCTCCTC